GGTCCATCCATGACGTGTACAATCCTAGGTGGGTGTCCGGGTCGGATGTTCCGTCATAAAATCCAATTTGTGGGATCTTGATCTTCTCGGGTAACTGTTCCTGAAAAATATCAAATGTTAGGAGTGATTCGGGTTCGGCTGGGCTGAACTCGATTCGTGCCCTTGAGGTTGTCGCGGCTCGCTTGAGACAGACTTCTGTCAGGTCTTGTCCGGTGGAGGGAAGTCGTTTTTGGGCCAAACGTCGAGCTTCGAGTTCGACTATTCTTCTTCGGAGGCTTTTCATTTCTTCTTCTTCGGCTTGAGTCGTTCGCTTTCTGAGCAATGTCTTCCTCAAGTCGTCGTCGGCCACGTTTTTTCCCAGCCGTTTGAAAACCGACCGGGTGGTGTTGCGGGTTTGAGTGTCCGTGACCGAGCGACTTTCGTCTGTCTATTCATTTTCTGTCCGGGTGGTAGATTTTTCCTTCGTGCTCCCGGGCGATCGGGTGGTCTCTTCGTGAATGTCCGTTTCCTTGTCTTTGAGAGCGTTGGTAAGGTCTTTTTTGGCTGGGGTTTTGGGTGCTTGAGACGTAGAGGGTCGGATCTGTCTTATCAAGTTTGATATTCCATTAACAAAATTTAGGTCTTTGAAAAAGGCTGAGTAGTCCGTCCTCGTAGTTTGGTTGTTTCGTCGGTCTTCCCTTTCTTCTGGCTTGTCTCGGCGGCGACTTTGGCTTGATGATGATGAAGTTGTTTTTGACATGCTCGAATAGCCCTCCTTCTAACGCCAATTGTTGATGTCTAAAAATGACCAACAATGCGTTCGAACTGCACGCTAAGATGTATGCTCTGTTCGGTCTGCACGAATAGTATTTATGTATGTGATTCGGTTTAATTTATCAGTCCGAATGCTCAGGCTATCCATGACTTATAGAGCAATTAATGAGAGCATTTACTCATTGCATTAAAAGATGTCCTCCCCTCCCTTATATAGGAAGTTTTGGGACCTTTACATTTCCCTCTTGGGGATTTTTACATTACCTTTTACAAGATATTTTCAGATATTAGTCATTATGCATTAAATGCTAATTGTACTTGACAATCTATTCCCAACATCAGAGATCCGTCCTGATCGTGCCACGCGTCCCCTTTTTCCCCTCGCCGTCGGATAGGAGATTTTAGTATATCTTTGCATTTAATGCGCGCAGTACGGCTAGCTTTGGGCAATGATTAATCAGATCTCGCTTATTCTCTCCCATCCGTTCGACAGCGGCTCGATCCCAGATGCATCCGGTTCGTCTTTTCCCTTACCACCACTCGTTCGGTCTATACCACCAACAGGCAGCATATTATTTTTTCAAATATGCATATTTTAATCGGAAAATGTCATACTTTAATAGACGTTGTCAACAAAAGTATAACAGAATATGACATTTGATATTGTAAGTAAAAAATTTTGTTAGTGGAGTATGGCAAATCGTTCCCTGTAATAATTAGATTGCTATCACCTAAAGAATTTGTATACATTAGTTGTTTAGAGGAAAAGTTTTCTAATAATTAATCATCACCAATAAAGCATATATATTTAGGATTGTAAATTTAATGCTAAAATAAATTTAAAATGGGCTTATTATTTAAAATAATTACTTTTATGTTTTAAGTATGTATCAAAGAAGACAAAAGTAAATTGACCATGGGCTATAGCCCACCTTAGCCATGTGCTGTCTACGCCCCTGCAAGCAACCAGCCCCGCCAAGGCCGCGCTATAGCCGCCCGAGGTGCCTCCTTGTGCCCGATCAATCCTCCACCTTTCTTGTAGGTTCGTTGAAGTACGATAATAGATGGCTTCCCCTCTTGTTTGATGTGTTTCGATAGGTATTTGATAGAATCCATGCATTTGTTAGTAGATCTATATGTTTCGTGAAATCTTGAGGATTTGGACCCTCTATTATTTTATTTATTTATCTGGAGAGTTTCATGATCTATAGAAATCATTTGATGCCTATTTCGAATTTTTTAACTCATTTGACCCCTTAATGTTCCAAACATTTTAATAAATTTATTTACTTGAACGTTTTGGCTGAAATTCGAACTAGAGACTACTGGATTGATGTATTGTATGCTGTAAAAAATTCAAGTTAAAATTCCAACCATAACCCCTTGAACCGATGTAAAGATTGAGTTTCAGCAGTCTGCCAGGTGCCGCCGCGGGCACTGGCATCGCCTGCGAACCGTGTGTGCACCCGCATCGTGCCCTGACGACCCTCGCGTGTCCTTAGTCACGCTCAACGATCCCAGCTCGTGCCTAGAAGCCGCCCAACGACCCAGCTCGACCCCAGCAGCCTCCGCACTCGTCCAACAGTCTCGACCCACGCCCGAACGCACATAGCTGCACTCGCTCGAGCCAACTGCATCTGTGTCGGTTCGATTGAACCCAATTTTTATTTTTCCTCAGCTGTTTGACCAAATTTCGAGCCTTTGACCACGTTTTTTACGTAGATTCCATTTTTTGCTTTTTTTAAATGATTTTTCGACATAAATTAACAACATACAGCAACACATTGGACTTCAATTGGGTTATCTGACTCTGAGGCAGGCCATCAAAGTTAGACAAAGATTTGATAATTTCTCTCTGTTTTCATGTCCGCTAAGAGAGAGAGAGAGAGAGAGAGAGAGAGAGAGAGAGAGAGAGAGAGAGAGAGAGAGAAGCATAGTACCAACCGATTAAAAAATATGAACAGTAAATCCGGAGAAATTCTTCACGAACACATCTTAGAAATATAAATAAGATTCAATATGCGACGCAAATTAGCCCCAATTTCTAATCAAACAATAAACTACATTGGTAATGTCTTCCACCAAATCACCCGGCTTGGTAGGCACCGGAGTCACCGCCGATGCAAAAGCACAGATACGACGAGCGGCGGAGGTTGATCGGTGACGGGAAAGCGAAAGTGTCGGTGGTAGTTGCACCGCCGAGGAAAACGGCAGAGGGAATTTAGCGAAAGCATTTGCAGTAGCAGAAGACGATGTGGCCGCGCTAGCCATTTTCACGTTCTGCACCAAGTACAATCTTGTTCGTGAGGTCTGTAAATTTTCTTTTCTCACGCGAAAATCTGGATAGGACCTAAGTGGAAGATCTTGTTTAAAGCCACCTAATGACATGTTAGATATTACAATTAAAATTATTAAAGACACCTCATGTGACACATAAGATTGTGGTATGGCTTATGGCGCCGTATGGGCGCCATAGAATTTCTGCTTCTCAGGGTCTTTATTGTAGCTCTATAAATACATCAATCTCAAGTCTCCAAACACAAGAGATTAGATGTTCATGTTCCTTTTTTCTCTCCTAAGAGAATCTTTATTCTTATTCTTCTTAGGAGTTTGTGTTATTTAAGAGCTTCGTTCGATCGCTCCACCACGATCGTTCGGAAAAGGTGTTCTGAGTGATTCAATAGAATATCTTTTGGTCTTTTATTTGTATCCCCTGCAATATATTCGAACTCCGCAATGTTTCTGTAATTCGCGGGGTTATTTGTTCTTCACGAATTTCAAGAATCGTAACCAACGGAGCCGATGATAGCCATCATGCATTTGCAGGAGTCAGCTGCTCACAGCCAAGTCCTGTCAGCGCTCAGGCGTGCCCTAGCCATACTCAGCCACAGTAGAACCGTGCAGTCCCGCGCGCACAGCCCATATCTGCACAGATTCGTTCCACTGTGAGCAGCACCGTGCAATCCAC